ATTGCGCTCTATCCTCTCACGATCGTTGGTCTTTGAGTTACCGGACACTCTATATATAATTAATAATAGTACTTATAATTTCGTCTAATTTCTCACAGAAGAAAATTATCAAACTATTAAAAATTTACTTGTAATATTATGTGTTTCCCATCAATTGCGCCAATGCAATTGGGAAAATTACACTTTTCTTCAAATTCATCGGCTATTTTTCGCCAGTTATCTTCAGTTGCTTTTAGGAATACCATATCTTTTAAAATATCCCATATTACATCGCATGTCTCTGATACAATCTGTGACACTGTATTGTGTCCTACACAAAATGCGTATGATATGGATACCATGCTATCTCCTGAAGATAAATATCGTAAGCAGATTTGAAGGCGAGTGCGAGCAGAAATTGGCTCACGAATAACAAATTGTTTCTGTATATGCGGTGAAACAATATGCAACAATTTTTCAAATGTTTCTGGTGTCATACGAAAATAATTAAAAAATTTTTCGACATCTTCAAAAGTCATTTCTTGCATCAGATTGTTGCTAGCCCCTTGTGCAAATCTTCTTTCGATATTAAAAATTGGTCTAACTCAAAATCTTCTGCGTTTAATTCTAGAATCTCTTTTTTTTTCTTCGATTCTCATTAATTTGTATATTATATAAATTTTCACTAATTTTCGTTGAACAGCTTCTTTGCATAATGTATTTTCCGAGCATTTGTATATTTTTAAATACTTTATTAAATTTATTAACGCAAAGTCCGAGTCCAACATTTTAACAAGAAGATTTTGCGCACATTTGTTTTGATTGATTTCATGTATGAAAATGTATATGTATTAAAACGTCACGCTGAAAATTTCATCGGCTGTCCCATGGAGCGTATTTACGCCGGCGTAATGATCAATAAGCCAATCACATGGTCCCCTGAGTATCCATTTTGAAAATAAGCTTTGTAAAAAGTTATTGTGATTGGTTTATTTATTTTTACGCCGCGTAAATACGCTCCTTGGGACAGCCGATGTTTTTGCTGCCATACCGACAACGGGCGTAAAGCCTGTGATTGGCCTAGTTCCTTTACGCCGTACGCCGGTATGCCGTACGCTGGCTTCATGGGACTTCACCCTCAGACACACCGGAGACGATCCGTCGCAATCCAAACCTTGCTGCCTAGGGCGTGCTCGGAGAGCAGTTGCAATACAAAAGACCACTTTCCGAACGGAGTTCCTCCAACACCAGGGAAAGGGTTACAACGAGCTTCATCTATTGAACCGTCCTTCTTAAGACCCGTTCAGTATACCAAGACGTGGTGATATCTTACCACGCCCATCAATTTTTATTCTAACTTCTCGGCCTTACACATTTGCCGAGAAAGTGCTTTTGGCGCAATAAACGCTCAAACATAAATTAACAGATTAACTTGTACATACTTCTCTGACGAAAAAAATAAATTATATATTTTCTAATAAATTGATTCTCACAACTTTTTCACCAGTTTGAACACATCCTAAAGGCATTACGCCTGTTACGTCTGGTCACTAGACGTGTGTAGAGAATTCTGTAATATCGACTATTAGCGCGAAATTTGAAATGTCTCCTTATTTTTTAGTCACCCTGCATTCACCGGGTTTACTAGGGATACAGGAGGTAACAATCTATCGTATGAAAAGGATATGAATAAAATCAAATAAAATAGATTAAATTAGCTTACCTAATTTTAATTAGGAGCAAAGCCTTATAGATACGTCTTAATAATGCAGATATTACACTGCTAAATATAAACCAAATAACTCAGTGTTTTCAACTGAACAATGCAGAGAAAAATAGTATATAGAACTTAATATGACCTAACAGTGAGTCTGCTGGAAGAGAACTGTCTCACGAGCGATGATGTACGTTGGTCCTCT